TTGTTGAGTTTTTTGACATATATGATTCAGCAGCAGAGGAATTTATGCTTCTGATGTTGAAGGATATGTGTCTTGCTTCCGAGTCTGATAAGTGGTGTGGTGTGTGCAACAAGAACAATCACAACGAAGAAGATTGTTATTGGAATGCTAGTGGAGACAGGCAGTCTAAAACGAGAAGAGGAAAATGCTTTGAATGTGGAGAACGAGGGCATTACGCGAGAGATTGCAAAAGAAAGAATCAGCAACAAGTGGTCACAGAAGCTCAGATGGATAAGGAAGAAGAAATCGGAGTTGATTACCTAATGTTAGTAGAGGAAAATTTGAGTAACTTCACTTATGATGAGGATATGTGGATGATATACGCCAAGAGCACCACGAATCATATGACTCCATATGACAAGTATTTCACCACTTTAGACAGATCACACAAGGCTAAGGTTGGATTGGTAGACGGAAAATTTCTCATGGTTGAAGGAAGAGGAGATGTGAAGATCATGATGAAGGGAGGGAAGAAGAAGACGCTCAGGAATGTGCTTTTTGTTCCCGGGATCAATAGAAACGTGCTGAGTCTTGATCTGATGATAGCAAGAGGCTATGAAGTAATAACCAAACCAGACAAATGCATTTTCCACGATCGGACTGGGGCAGTGTTTGGGGATACTGTGTGGGACGAGAGAGGACCAGCTCTGCGTTTGCAGGTGGTTGAAGGTAATCAACAACAGGCAGAGACAAAAGCTCAGATAGATGAGGAAGAAGAAATCGTAGTTGATTATGTAATGGCAGCACCGATGGCTAAAAGTGATTTAACTTATGATGAGAACTTGTGGATGGTATCTGGCTATGCCACGATTCATATGACTCCATATGAGAAGGTTTTCAAGAAGTTAGACCGAACACACAAAGCCAAGGTTGGATTGGTCGATGGAAAAGTCGTCATGGTAGAAGGAAAAGGAGATGTGGAGATTGTGATGAAGGAAGGGAAGAAGAAGACGATCAAGAATGTGCTTTTTGTTCCCCGTGGGATCAACAGGAACGTGATGAGTGTTGCTCAGATGACATCAGAAGGAGGATGTTCATTCAAAGAGGGAGGAAGAGGAGAATGCATTATTAGCGATCGGACCGGGGCAGTATTTGGAGAAACCATGTGGGATGTGAAAGACTTGGCTCTGCGTTTGCAGGTGATTAAAGGTAATCTCACTTCTTAATTCACTGCTTTCCACTTTGGTACTAAGACTTAATTAAGTAAAGTGGACGTGTATGTCTTTTATGTGGTTTTTTTTTTGTTAAGTTTTTTTTTATTCTGCTTTCACTTTGTTGGTCTAATTCGTATTCTGCTAGCTACTGCCATATGTTAATGGTCAAAAACTATTTTTGTTATTCAATATGCAATGGTTTTGTCAAGTTCTTGTTAATGGTGAATAAGTGGACGAAATCTAGTAACAAACAAAATATTATGAGATATTGCAATTCGCTCTCTTAGATTTTTGGGATATGTTGGAAGAAGGCAGTATTTGAACTGAAAATTGAAATTGAAGCAGGAGAAGATAGCGTGTCGTAATCACTTAACCGGGTCAACACATTTAACATTAACCAAACTCTACCAAATTTGATTTCGCTAACAATAACTCATCACAACTCGAGAACTCCGTATGTATCTGAGTGTGTTTAAACTTAGGGAATCAAAATGAAACGAATATGGAACCGAGGCGAATCCTTGACCGAAATGGAATGGAATTAGAACCATGACCAACTCTTGTTGATCTTAGCGGGAGAGAATTTTGTTTATCACTTTAACCGGATCGAGCCACCCAAATTGAGCCAGACTTAACCAAAGTTGATATACGTAACAATTACGCATCCCAATTATGTCCAAACCAAAGCCGTTCCGGGAACTACGTATATCAACTAAATTCAAGAGTGAATTGAACTTTAGTCATATGAACTTAAGACTTGACCGAATTAACTTATTTTGATTATATATTATAGGATAAAGCAATTATTTAATGGCATTAAACCGAACCAATGATTGAACCAAAAACCAAGCCACTGCTCCCGAACCATGAATAGAACCAAAACCGAGCCACTGCTCATTTGATAGTTTTCTCGAAATTGAACTTTAGGGTTTAACGATTTGCTTTAATGGACTCACAGTATAAATATATATTATTCCGGTGAAGGAATAGTTTATTCGCTTTTCCTTGCTCCAAGAGAATATACAGAGGAAAAAGGTTTGACGAATATAATCTATTAACTTTGGACGACTTCGTATTAATTTATGTTTTCAAAAAATATTCTGTAATTCACTTTGCAATGCTTGTCAAGTTACTGGTTATGGTGAAAAAGGGGACAAGTTCTAGTAACAAACAAAGTTCAAACCATCAACAATACTTAGTTGACCATTGTTGAAGAGAAACTTGCATAGTTGCATGTAGTGTAGGGTTTATCCACTTAAATCGGATTAACCCATTTCAAATTGAACCAGACTTAACAACATTAGATTTCCGTTAGAATATTATATCTCATCCCAATTCTAAAAATCCGCATCCGCCAAATTTAAGACTCAAAAGAGTATTTAAATTCAAGTTCGTTTTTTTTTAAAAAAGAGTGTATTTAAATTGAATTTGTGCCAAATTCCTGAACGTAATAATTTGGGTTTCGCCAATTCCACTAAACCGAACGGAGAACCGAGCCTAACTTGAAATGACTAAAGCGTGAGATTAACTTCATTTGGCGATTTTTCTAAATTGAATTCTAGGGTTTAAAGATTTGGTTTAATGTCATCACTGTATAAATAGAAAGCTTCCGGGTCTGGGGAATGGTATAGATTTGCTTTCTCCAAGAGAATATACAGAAGAGAAAGAGAATTTTAAAAAATCCTCACGACGACGACGGCGATGGCGGCGGCGAACATACAAGTCGCTGTTTCCGATGACCTGAACTACGAAATGTGGGCTCAAATGACGAAAACTACACTCGTCGAGAAAGGACTCTGGGATGTTGTTGAAAACGGAGTCTCTCCCGATCCAACGAAGATTCCAGAGTTAGCTTCGACTATTAAGGTCGAAGATCTTGCTCAATGGAGGAATCGTGTGATCAAAGACATGAAAGCGCTCAAGGTGATGCAATCATCTCTCACGGAATCGGCATTCAGGAAGACAATCTCCGCTGGTTCGGCCAAGGATCTCTGGGATTCGCTCGAGAAAGGTAACGAAGAGGCAAATCTGCGTAGGTTAGAGAAGCAATTCGATGAACTTTGCATGGGTGAATCAGAATCGATCGATTCCTACTTCGATAGGGTTACAGAAATCGTTGAAAAGTTGCGCCGTTTGAAAATTGAGAAATCGGATTACGAGGTTATCAAGAAGGCGTTAGGCTCACTCTCAGTGTCATACGATGGTGTAGCTCCGGTGATGGAAGAACTCTTGGATCTGAAGAGTATGAATTTGAAGAGCCTTGTTGATGTTTTTCATGGATATGATTCGATGAAAATTGAAGATATCGACCTAATGTTGAAGCAAAACAGGCTTAAAGCTAAGCCTGCTAAATGGGAGAATGCTAAGTGGCGTCGCGTCTCTGACAAGAACAATCGTAACCAAGAAGAAAAATGTTGTTCCGTTCCTAAGGCAGGAAACTCGAGTGGAGCAAGGCAAG